TGTATGTATATGTGGATGTGTGACTCACATGTGTGTGTAAGAAAGGATCTGTGTGCAGAGTGTTTCTGCACATGTACCCTGTCACATGTCTGTGAGTCTGTGTGTGTGTTTCTGAGGTGTGTGTTTCTAAGTGTACCCTTGTGCGTGTCTCCTGAATTTGAACAGGAGCTCAGATGTATGTTTGTTCCATGTGCCTGCCATGTCCATGTGTGTTCTGGTGAGCCTCTGAGTGCTCGATGTGCATGTGTGAGTATGGGGTGTCCCCAGTGTGTATCTGTGTGTATCTGAGCAGACTCTGTGTACAGATACCAGCCGTCCTCCTCCCCCCAGGTCCCCTCAGCTCTCAGGCAGTTTAACTGCATTCTTCCTGCTGTGGCTGTTTCCATTGCTTCTGTCCCCCTCTCCAGATGTTGAAATTAAGTAAATGCAGCAATTAAGTGGAGTTCCCAGACAACCATCCTACCAGGATCTCCTTCCAGGAGCTAAATGAGCACATGCACACCCATGCACAGTACTATCCAGGCCCCTCAGGCCCCCCAGGCTGCATATATGCTATGGCATTAAGGCACTGTTGACCTGTACACAAATGGCACAGGGGGGTTCTTTGTCCACGTGCTTCACTTATACTCACCCTTCAGGTCTCAGCATAAAGGTCCCCTCCTCCAGGAAGCCTCCTTAACTCCCTAGGGGCCAAAGGGGTTAGACTTTGCTTCTGGGGTCCCACACCCCTCTGATTTAGGGTGGCTTCCCCCATCAGAGACCTGACTGCTCTGAGTTGTCTGGAGAGGTGTCTTTCCCCCTTTCGGAATGTGAGCTCAGGGAAGGCAGGACCTAGTGCTGTCTCACTCACTACTTTTACTGCAGTGTCATCTACCACACAAATCTACAGTAAATACAGAACTGGCAGCTTTGCCTCTGCCTGTCCCTGTTTCCAAACCCCTCTTTATATTTATAGAGAATATAGATATAAAGACTTCGGTCTCTTGGGCACACACTTGGAGTGCTATATCTCCTCAATCCACCAGGTTTCGGCATAGCTGTGGTGGACAGTTCCATGCACATTGCAGATGTCCCAGGTTTAGCCCAGTGGTTCTCAAAGTGTGGGCCCTAGACCAGCAGCATGAGCATCATTTGGGAGCTTGTTAGAAATGCAAATATTTGGGCCCCACCTCAGACCTACTGAATCAGAAACTCTAGGGTTGGCTCCTGGAGGTCTATGGTTAACAAGTCCTCCAAGTGATCCTAAGGCAGCTGATGTGTGAGGGTCACTGGTGTAGCTCACACATGATATACCTCCTGCTTTTCCGCCTCAGATCACAGATGGCTCTCAGTACCACCCTCTCCCCACAAAGGGACAATCATCACCCAAGGGGGTAAAATGGGTAAATGCCCCACCCTCTCTGAACTTAGTGGAGGAAGAAGGAAAATGACAATTCTGATATGTTCCACATGGTTCCTTAATGTTCCCCAGAAGAACTGAGCCCTAGTTGCCCAGAGAGATAACCTGCTTTTCATCTCCACCTTCTATTCACTTTCTTCCTTCTCTGTTTCACTCTGCCCCCTCCCTTGCCCACTTCCTGGAACCACCCCCGCAAATAAGCCAGTTCCACTGAATCGTAATCCCAGTCTGCTCATGGCATTATCTTGAGGTGTTTCCCTCTGTCTCCCCCCACCTCCACCAGTTCTGTAGCATCCCTGGAACTTCTGGGTCCTGTTCCTTAGTGTCTGCATAACCAGTATTCACTGTCCTGGGCCAGGAGCACTGATGAATTTTCTAATGATCTGGAAAGACGGGCCCTAGAGATGAGTTAATTTTAGCTGCAATTTTTCAATACTCATAAGTGGAAGGAGCCAAAAGTCTTGTTTTGAAACCTTTAGCAAAGCTATGGATGCCAAAGTGGATGCCCCTGCTCCCAACAAGGTTGCTTTGCTCTTCCACTCAGATGAGGGTTCAGGGGTGGTTTATGACCATCCAGCTTCCCCCAGGCTAGGGCCATGGCCATAGGCCAAGATTGTGTTCCCTTTGGACTAGAGCTCTCAAAAGATCAGGTTCGACATGTTACTCTAACCAAGTTCCCAGGCCAGGCTTGTAGACCACTGCCCACACTCCTCTTCCTGCAACACCATCACTGTGAGACGTGTGGGACACCCATTTCCCCTCCCCTATCCTCTCACAAGCATCAGGATAGACAGACACCACTCCTGGTGAGTCATGTGTTGGTACAATTCCAGTAGCATCCTCTGTGGGGTAGTGGATGTGAGTGTGGGAGAGGGGAACTCAATGGATACACTTCTCTGGGCCAACCTGGCAAGCTCCTGCCTCTGTCCCATTTCCTATCTCCTTCTTCCATGGGATATCTGGTCACTGTGTCTTGATGTCTAGCTCCAAGTCCAGAGGGCACGGGATCTTGAAGCCACATTTTCCCTTTGCAGCCAGGGCAGGGAGCCTTGGGAAGGAGTAGAGTCTCCCCTCTGGCCTGAAAGGAAGAAGCTCCTCTTGTGGAAAGGACATCAGGGAGGTGGTGCTGAGACAGAGGGGCAGAAGGAGACAGGCTTGGGGGCCCGAGTACTCTGGGATGGAGTAACACATTCAGGGCTCTGACTGAGAACTGGACACACACACATACATGTACATACACATGCACATGCACATACCCATCCTCACAGCTGAGCTGCCCCAGTTCAGTAGCCTCCCTCTCTCTCCTCCACCCATTATGTCTCTTTGCCTTTCTCTGTGTCTTTGTCTTTCTCTGTCTCTGATTTGTCCTTGTCTCCTGTCTCTGTTTCTCTCTGGGTCCCTCACTGTCTGTCTTTCCATTGCTCCTTGAATATGTCTATGTCTCTCTATCTCTCTGTCTCTGTCTCTCTCATTCTACTCCTCTCTGTCCACCCATCGAAGTCAGCCCATCTTTTTTGTCTCTGTCCTTATCGCTGTATCTCTGTCTGTATCCAAGAATTCTCGCTCCCAAGCAACGCTAGGGCGACTCCATAGGAGGCGGGGCCGGGGACGCGCCTCTGAAGGCGGGAGGGCAGCCTACACCTTTAAGCGCGGGCGCGCGCGGAGCCTGCGCCTTTAAGCGCGGGCGCGCGCGCGGCCCTGGGTTCCCGGCGTGGAGGCC